CAGGGATAATCTGTGTACACACTTGTCACTTGGGCATGAAGGTCACACCGTGGTCATTTTAAGTCCCAAGTTTAGGCACCGTGTACACCCCTGACCACATAAATGTGCAGAGTTTAGAGTACAAGTTTACGTTAAATAAAAGCACATTAACCCACTATTCCTAGACCTGCTACCTCATTTTATAACCCCCCTCCCCTAAGCTGCGGCACTACCCAAATTGTGGCTAGTATTGAAAAGGTTTGTGGGTGACCTCAGCAGAGATATAGCCCGCTGCTTCGGACAGGTTACGGATATCTTGGTAAATAAGAAAGCTGGGGTGGGAGTTATTGTAGAAAATAGGTCAGGAGGTCTAAGAAGAGGGCCAATGTACTTTTACTGGTAAACAAACCTAGCATATCCTTCTGAAAATGCAAACTGCCCATCTCCTGGCTTTATTATTGTGTCAGTGACCTTGTATGCTTATTGCAGGGTCAGCAAGACAGACAGGCAATAGAAGCGGAGGTGGTCAGCAATGGCAACTGTTGTGTTTGTCCCATGACATTTCCTTTGCCATTATTTTAATGCAGCAAACAGGACAGAAGGATGGAAACTGCAGTGCCACACAAATGTGCCATTGCCCTTAAATTCAGGCAGCAATTCCTACAGAGCTGGAATTTACCATTTACAGAGGCATGCACCAAGACCATTTATGGCATCCATTCATTTAGGAATATTTTGCTCCCCCCCTCATTTGCACTTCGATTCATCCGATATTAATCTTACAAACGCTAACCTACATTACACCATCCAAAACTTGCTGATCATGCTGAAGTCTGAGGTATGCGTCACACTAATATTGGCTAGTCTGTAAATTCCAACCCTGATTTTCCCCTGTGAAGCAGAAGTGTAATACTTGCATTGGAAAACCCTGTAATTACAACCCAAGAACAAAAAAAAAAAAAAAAAAAAAAAAAGAAAGAAAAAATTATCTGCTTGCACAGAGGTAGGAGGTCAAAAAGGCACAATGTGACCTTCAATGACAATGAACCTCTACCCGGTCTAAACTGTTTTAACAGTCCAATGGCACAAGTTACATTTTCTTGAAAACCTGACATGAATGATTTTTTTTTTTTTTTTTACATTAACTGTACATTTTGAAAATCTGAATGTCAAACACTGTAATGCTTCAGTAAATTGCTGCAGATTCACCCATCAGATATCGGTGGTGGGTTCAGAACAAAAACAAAGACGCTATTTTGCATACAGCCTGCCAGACCATACACAAGAGTCATCACTTTCATTTTCCCTCATATTTTGGATTCACCACTGTTGTTACCGCACTCTTGTAGATGGGGTTTTCACCCTGGAAAGAGAGTGAAAAAAGAAAAGTTAGGACAAGGCCTTACTAGAAAATAAAAAGTGTATAAATAAAACAGTATATACAGAGGGAAACGGATATAAATCAAACCATTCCCGTGGAAAAAAAAAAAAACAAAACAGCCTTTTTTTATAGAGTTAAAATGAAGCCAAAACACAAAACTACACACAGTGCCTCATCCCACCACGTGACTGCAAAAAAGAAACACAAAGCACAGCTGTTAGAGTAAACTCATTACTATAGGGTGCCATACATTTCTTTAGGATAAATCAGTTCCTGAATAAAATGCAAACTCATCTCTCAAAAGTTATATCTCTTACGTCTAAAACGTGTTTAAAGTGATTGTAAAGCTTGTTTTTTTTTTTTTTTTTTTTAATTAAAATAACAAACATGTACACTTACATGCTTTTTGCAAGGGTTTTGCAAAGAGCAGCCCCAAGTATCCTCTGTTGGGGTCCCATGCCGGAACTCTGCCCCCCCCCCCTCCTCCCTCCCCCCCCGGCCGAGTGCTCCTGAGCCCTGCTCTTTGTGTCCATAAGATACACAGAACTGGGCACGGCTGCACCCCCCCCCCCAATCACTGGCTATGATTGACAGCAGGGGCAGCCAATGGTTCCTGCTGCTGTACCTGAGTCAACGAGGAGAGAGCCTCGGCTCTCATGCACACTGCTGGATTAGATCGGGCTCAGGTATGTATTTAGTTGGGCCTGCAGGGGAGGCTGCATGCTGAAAGTTTTTTTTACCTTACTGCATGGAATTCAGTAATCTGAGCAACCCTTCAGCTTTATAAAAACTTTAAAGCTGAACTCAAGGAATTGCAAACCTTGGTTGGCCTATAAAGGATTAAGTTCAACTAGGTGTAGTGAACTTCGTTTATTTACTATTTAGATGTTTACTGAGTACCAGAAGTACAGCTATCACTATGGATTCTTGCACTCCGACGCCAGACCTTCAGGTCTCCAATGCAGCAATTGCAGAGCTGCTTGCAGCCATTCTGCCTGCCCCTCCCCACCTCTTGTCCAGTCACAGAAGGCTTTGTATTATGTGAACTAGTATTCCAGTATTTTGTGAATGGACAGCTAAGGGGTGGACAGACTGCATCCCTCCTGTCAGAGTGCTGGAAGTATAGCAAGAGCTGCACTCATGGTGCTCAGTAAAACTAAATAATAAAGCAGAGATAAGTCCATAAGGTGACAAAACTCATTGGACTTTACCCCTTTACAAACCAGTATATTTTTTAAAAGCGCTGATTATTTAAAGAGTTCTGCTTTAAAAAGTCTGATCTTGACACCAGGCAGACAGTTCATATGTAAAGAATCAGAATAGTGAAAAACACCGCTTTTGTATACTCTATACTGTGTGCATTAAATACAGTGGTGTTCAAAATAATAGCAGTGAGTTGAAAAAAGTGAACAAAGCTCAAAATCCTTCTAATAGCTTTTATTTCCATACACACAAATGCATTGGGAACACTACACATTCTATTCCAAATCAATACATGAAGAAAAATATATCAAATTTGTGTTGTATTCTTTACAAACTCAAACATTCACTATATAAACTGAAAAATGTTTGAAGATTTTGCTTTCCTTTGAATCAATTAATATTTTGTTGTATAAGCACTGTTTCTGAGAACTGCTGTACATCTGTGTTGCATGGAGTCAACAAACTTCTGGCCCCTGTGAACAGGTATTCCAGCCCAGGATGATTGGACTACATTCCACAGTTCTTCTCTATTTCTTGGTTTTGCCTCAAACTGCATTTTTGATGTCACCCCACAAGTTTTCTATTGGATTAAGATCCGGGGATTGGGCTGGCCACTCCATAACGTCAATCTTGTTGGTCTGGAACCAAGATGTTGCACATTTACTGGTGTGTTTGGGTCGTTGTCTTGTTGGAACACCCATTTCAAGGGCATTTCCTCTTCAGCATAAGGCAGCATGACCTCTTCAAGTATTCTGATGTATTCAAACTGATCCATGATCCCTGGTATGCGATAAATAGGCCCAACACCGTAGTATGAGAAACATCCCCATATCATGATGCTTGCGCAACCATGCTTCACTGTCTTCACAGTGTACGGTGGCTTGAATTCAGTGTTTGGGGGTCGTGACTGTGACAGTACACAGTCACAGTGTACTGTGGCTTGAATTCAGTGTTTGGGGGTCGTCTGACAAACTGTCTCCGGCCACTAGACCCAAAAAGAACAATCTTACTATCATCAGTCCACAAAATGTTGCGCCATTTCTCTTTAGGCCAGTCAATGTGCTCTTTGGCAAATTGTAACCTCTTCAGCACGTCTTTTTTTTCAACAGTGGGACTTTGCGGGGGCTTCTTGCAGATAGCTTGGCTTCACATAGGCGTCTTCTAATTGTAACAGTACTCACAGGTAACTTTAGACCTTCTTTGATCTTCCTGGAGCTGATTGTTGGCTGAGTCCTTGCCATTTTGGCTATTCTTCTATCCATTCGAATGGTAGTTTTTCGCTTTCTTCCACGTCTTTCAGGTTTTGGTTGCCATTTTAAAGCATCTGCGATCATTTTAGCTGAGCAGCCTATCATTTTCTGCACTTCTTTATATGTTTTCCCCTCTCCAATCAACTTTTTAATCAAGGAACGCTGTTCTTCCGAACAATGTCTGGAACGACCCATTTTCCTCAGAATTTCAGAGAGAAATGCACTGTAACCAGCAGGTACAACATTTGCTGCCTTCCTTCCTTAAAAAATGGCAATAATTGCCACCTGTTTTTCAAAGAATGAATGACCTCACTAATAGAACTCCACACTGCTATTATTTTGAACATGCCCCTTTCAATTAGTGATTCAATTACACAGAATCAGCAGCATGCATGTCATGACTGTTGGGTCTGTTGGATTTCTATTACTCTACTACACCTGCTAGTAAATTATTTGCCATGGAGAAATATCATTTCTACCAAAAACAGTGATTGATCAGGTTAGTGATGTCTGACTGCTATTATTTTGAACACAACTGTACATAATACAATTCACACTAAATGAATTCTTTTATTTCAAATGATAATGGTGTCAGGGGGCCTTAAGCAGTTGCGGCAGCAGATAAAACGAAAATTAAGAAAATGTTAATGAAAAGATAACTTCCCAAAGAACCCCTGGCAGCACTGAGCCAGTGTCCTGCTAGTGCTTCTGTTGCCGGAGAAAAATTTCCAATACCAGAATTGCTAAAACACTTCTGTGATCTGAGCTCTGTAGCATTTTAGCCAGTGAGAGCAACTTTTAATAGAAAGAGTGGCAGTTTAATTTCAAGAATCCTGTCACGGTTGAAATCTTCTCAATGGTAGAATCACCAGTGTGACATGGTCCACCTATGTGTCCCAACCTCTTAGTGCCACTTTAATGGGCAGTCAGATCTACATGTTTATGTGGAGAAAATATACATTAAACATTTGGATAACTACTTTTTTCACCTCCTTACAGATTAAAAGAGTTTGGTTGAAGGGTTTAACTATTCTTTAGTCGCATTTAAACCACCAGTGTCCGATCACTTGTATACAGGAACACTTCACACTGCAGTTTCCAGCACACGACAGTGTTAAGAGGCAGGACAAGGTGCATGCATGAAAGAAGCAGACAGAGGAAAGAAAAAAGGAAATACAAACTGAGAATCAGAGAGCAGCTTTGCGTCCATAGTTTGGGTTCTTGAAATTATTAATAGGACTCTTGTAAATAGGATTCTCTTGCTGGAGAAAGGAATCCACAGAGATAAGGTTCATACATGACAGAAGTCTGGACAGTGAATGAAATGCACGTGAAATCTGAAACACATCTAACTGGACAGCTTTGTGGAAAGAAATTTAGAAATTTCTGGTCTATAGTATCTGGAAAGGCTAGCAGCTACCAGAAATTAGCGATATTCCAGCTGTAAGCTCTCTACACTGCTGTTCTCAAGTATAGGAACAAACTGACTACTGAAGATGGACACAAATGTCCTGGGAGGAAAGACAGTTTCAGATGTCCTCCAGTCTTCAGTACTGCTGCCTACAGGTAAGTAAGCCATAATCTACGTCTTATTAACTTTATCACTAATTAATCAACAAACAATTCCACCAAAAATGCTGTGGAGGGTGCTGGTTGGTGTAACCAACTGGCTTACACACAAGTCAGTCTACAACAGCTACTGAAATGCTCTCCATAGCCGTTTTATTAGTAGGATTAAATGAACGGCACTCAGTGAAGCCTGCCAGAACAACTCCAGAGATGTATAGCTCAGTTGCTGAGTGATGTTCAATTGAAGCTACCCACAGAATAGCCAGCTTCAGTAGATACATATCACCCAGTGCAGCGGCTAATGCCTTCTAAATGAGGAATTATAGAAGTTCAAAAAAAAAAAAAAAAAAAAAAAAAAAAAAAAAAAAAAAAAGATGTCCTTCTGGGAAAAATGTGTTACTATTCCATAGAGTACTGAAATTCTATGGCCAAAAGTCACATGCCATACAGAATACTTGATGCTTCAATCACATGTGAAAGGGAACACACACCTCGTGCAACTTTTAGGAATTTACAGCAAGTTCACAAATAAGATTCATTGCTTCCATCCCAACTGAAACTACTTTGTATGGAAACTTCAAGCACTGATTTACTTTCCTCCCATGGCAGAATCCCTCTGAGATATATGGTTATCTATGGCATTAGAGCTTCCTATCCTGTCTAAGCACAGATGGCTGTGGAGCTGGCCTGAGTCATACACTTCCCTTTATTTTTTGAGTGTGACCATTTTTCAAAAATAGGGCATTTTCTTAAATTCAAAAGAGTGAGGAAAAATCTACATACACTGCTTATACTACAATATACTAGTTATAATACAATACTTACAGCATCCCATTTGGCATTCATTTTTCTCCTTTTCAAATTTGGCAAACTCTCTTCTGTCATGAATAATCATTAGAAGCTTCCATATAAGCAACAGTGCCAGTCCAATGAGTACAATTCCAGCCACCACACCAGCAACGATGGGAACGATTTCAGGGCCACTGGGACACTCTAAAACAGAAAATCAGTATATGCATCCTCATTAGCTGCTTACTTTATATGGGGGTGGGGGGGGGGGGGGGGGGGGGGGGGGGGGGGGGGGGGGGGGGGGGGGGGGGGGGGGGGGGGGGACAACTCTGCTAAGAATACATTACCTGGGTCTTTCACAACATGCACATGCACCTCAGAGTTAGAATTTACAGAGTAGGTATAGTAGAACCAACAATCGTCTACATCTTTCTCTTTGCAGTGTGTGAGAGCGTCTTCCTGTCCTGGTTGAGGTAACTTGTCACGGCTGTCCACCATAGTAAGGTTGAAATGTGAACAATGGCTATCACACCGGTCTTGTTTCTCTCCTTTATGGAATGCTCTGCACTGAACACATTCCCTGGGTTAAAAAAAAAAAAAAAAAAAAAAAAAAAAAAGACAAAACAGGCATTAGCAAAAACAACTGTTAAAGAGACAAGCTAAAATAACTAATGAAGAAAAAAATAAGAAAAGGAAGATGTGACAGTGGATTAAAAAAAAAAAAAAAAAAAAAACAAAGTGGTCGATGAAGGTGCACCTGTATAACCCTCACATCAAACTGGAGGAAGTCTCTCAGTTCACCTGTAACATCTGACTTACAGGCATGACCTTGCATTTCTAAAGCCTTGGTTCTCCACTTTAAATAGAACAGTGTGAAGCCAAAATGTATGTATATAGGACACTAAACCTCAGAGGTGACAACATATGTTAAAAACCGTAGTGTCATTACAATCAATAGTGGAGGTGAAAGGCACAGAGAAGTAGGTAATTGTGGGCAAATGGTGATGTTACCACCAAAAAGGCTTAATTTTGCACATATTTACAAGCCCTATGCAATATACTTTTGGACCAGAGACTTGTGTCAGAGATAAAAAGTAGTGTAAAACAATGATTTAACTGAACTAAAGTTCATTTTTTTACTTCCTGTACAGGAGAAATGTGTTACTTCTTAATACTTACTTGTGTTCCGCACAAACACCGACACAAGTCTGGCACATCTCACACGTCTGTCCCTGGAATTTGGGGTCTGTACATTTACACCTTCCACATTCACAATTTCCTCTTCCATTACATAGCTGACCATTAGATGCTATGCATGTTGATTTATCCTCCGAGCAATCACAAGCACTACCAGAAAAATTGGGGAAACATTCGCAAACTCTGCATTTGCAGACTCCATTACCTGTAACAAAAGACATGCTTTAGGAAAGAATCCGGTTTCGAAAGTGCCTCTGTATCCTGAAGTGCAAGTCAAATTGCAGGCTGCCTGGCAGCAGGGTCTTTGAGCATGCACTCTTCTGTAGTTGGGCTTTTTCTCAAAGAAATAAATACTGCTCAAAAAATTTAAAGAAACACTTTTTAATCAGAGTATAGCATCAAGTCAATTTAACTCCTGGAATATCAATCTTGTCAGTTAAGTAGCAGAGTTTAAGCTGCTTTGGTGTTAATGAAATTATTAACAGGTGCACTAGATGGGCAACAATGGGATGACCCCCAAAACAAGAATGGTTCTACAAGTAGATGCCACTGACACCTTTTTCCCTACTCATCTTTTCTGACTGTTTTTCACTAGTTTTGCATTTGGCTAGGGTCAGTGACACTACTGGTAGCATGCGGTGATACCTGGACCCTACAGAGGTTGCACAGGCAGTCAAACTCCTCCAGGATGGCACATCAATACGTGCCATTGCCGGAAGGTTTGCTGTGTCTCCCAGCACAGTCTGAAGAGCATGGAGGAGATTTCAGGAGACAGGCAGCTACTCTAGGAAAGCTAGACAGTGCCATAGAAGGTCCTTAACCCATCCGCAGGACCGGTATCTGCTCCATTGTGCAAGGAGGAACAGGATGAGCACTGCCAGAACCCTAAAAAAAAAATGACCCCCAGTAGGCCACTGGTGTAAATGTCTCTGACCAAACAATCAGAAACAGACTTCATGAGGGTGGCCTGAGGGCCCGACATCCTCTAGTTGGCCCTGTGCTCACTGCCCGGCACCATAGAGTTCGATTGGCACTTGCCATTGGAGGCATATCCATGGAGGGTTGCACAGACCTCTACAGGCTAGACAATGGCACCCTGACTGCCATTTGGTATCAGGATGAATTCCTTAGACCCACTGTCAGAACCTACGTTGGTGCAGTGGGTCCTGGTTTCCTCCTGGTGCACGGCAATAGCACGGCCTCATGTGGCAAGAGTATGCAGGCAGTTCCTGGAGGATGAAGGAATTGATAAAATTGAATGGCCCCCACACTCACCTCCCTCACATTCACAGCGGCAATAAACGTTTTATTTTGGATTTAATACATCATTAAGTATCCAGCATCGTTCTTTCCTTGGGTTTCTGAATATAGTGTTGCACTTACCTCCACAAAGCAACCCATTGGATCGGTCACAATTGAAATTGTCGCAGTCACAGTATTTTCCAGAGTAGACCTCATTAGGATTTTCCCTCTTCTTACATACACACTGGCCACAGATACAGTCTCCATTGTTACTGCAGATCTCTGAGCTATTCTCCTTTCTACACTGAGCATCCATGTCTTCACTGCTAACTTGCTCTGTGCTGCATTCGCACTGTTTTCCAATACGACCCTCGTTGCATCTGAAAATAAAAGGAAACCCATGTGAAAAGCCAACATACACTGAAAATAACCTATTTATTCCTCCGTGACCTAAAACCTGCACTTCTAGAGATTTCGGAAGTATAACTTTAGCTCTGCACTTCCAAATAAATAATAAAAAGATACAGATGTACTGAAGGAGCCATGGAAAATTGTCAGCCAAACAGCGCCTAATTAAACCTTCTCAGAGTCTGTGAACTTCTCAAATTATAAATCAAAATTCATACTCCCAATTACCCTACCTACATGGAATCACTCCTTCAATATCCACGTGTGCCCTAAAAATGCTTGTGCATAACTTCAGATCTCATTCCATAGTAAAAATCCACGAAACATGATCTTCCAAATAAGTCCTTCCCGGACTATACCATCCACTAGTATAGATAAAAGTGGCTCCCCTCATCCAGCACTGCTCAAAGTTCCAATCTTATAGGGCATCATAACATGGGTCAAGAACAAAAGCCATATAGTGTAATATGTATTATAAATGGATCTATTTAATAGAAATGTGCTTACAAGCAAAAGGTAATTAAAATTGCATATCTCCTTAGTAGAGTAGTAGTGTGTCCACTCAATAACAGCGGTCGATATACAGAACCTCTCTCAAGATGGCTACTGCGTTCACCAATAAGATGTAGGCATGGTTTGGGTATTTTGACAGCTGGTAAAACGGTGTTAAAATGCAATATGCACAGTGGGAGATTCATCTATCTGCACTGTGTGGCATGGATGAAGGAATTCATTTGAATTTTTTACAGGCTGAATGGAAAATAAAACTGCGTATTTACAGCTTTACAATTTATCAGCCATTACATTGGTGGGGTTTATTAAGCAGAAAAAAAAAAAGTCAATCTCAACTCATTTACTGCTGGTCTTGCAAAAGCTGCTTTAGTGCAAAGCTGAATATTACAGTAAGGTTAGAACAAATCCAGCAGCCATTATGCTTCCAGTGCCAGTAAACTGGACAGCACACAGCTTCAATACATTGAATAAACCCTCAAAATGATCCCCCCAGTTGTCAGCAAGCAATAAGGGAAACCACAAAAACTATTTAAAGTTGCAAAGTTAGACTGCTGTAGAAACCTGAAAATAAACAAAAGCTTCCTGGTAACAAGAAGTGAAGTCAAACCAATAGACAATTAAAATTTGCTGTAATTATTACCTCTCAAGACTACTGGTATGTTTTATAAAGCAACACAGAGGACAATATTATTCAAAGCATGGTAAGAAACTTATAAAAACCAAGGTGTACAACTTTGGAAGCCTGTTTGTTGGAATCTGCCAAATTAAAAGTAAATCTAGGGATCCATCATGTTTTGGTAAATGGTTGAGGCTGGTGGTACTCTAACAGTGTGTGAAAATAACAGTACAAAAAATATCAATTATCTGAATGCCAAAGTGTAATTTAAAAATGGTTTCTGACCACGTGAATGAATCTTGTGTTCAATCCAACAATGTTCTAATGTCACAAAGCAATGCATCACCTATTTCACACCCATGACAAAGCACACTTGGGATGAAGAGGAAATGGGTGGTTTGCCACATAAAAAATGTGGTCAACAGATTTGAAAGATTGCATGATGCCATCTAGTCAGCGTGGACTAAAAATCTGTAAATAAAATCAGCACTTTGTTAAATCAATACCAAGCTGTTCTGAAAGGAAAAAGGGATCCTGTCTAATAATTGATAAGTGCATCTATAACATGGCCAAAAGAGTATTTCAAACGATGCTGTAAAAAAAAAAAAAAAAAAAAAAAAAAAAACCCGTTTAGTAGCGCTGCATAGGTTAACTGATCAAACTACTTTGATATACATTTCTGCAGATATCTCTCAGCCTCCTTAAAACTAACCTACCTAAACAGAAATTTTGCACCAGCCTTTTATAAAGCTCATCTGAAGTCTGATCTTATTTGATTACAGGCCTGATATCTCCCTTGTGGGAATTCATAAAGGGTGTTGTAAACATCTTTCAGAATTCGATTTGGCCACCACACCAAAACTGCAGCCAATCCATATACTGGTCACAGATGGTACACAAGTCTGTCGGTACTTGGCAGTGTGGTCAGAATGACTATACTGAACACTTCTTCCTCCGTGCGCTCCCTCCCTATCTGGCCACTCCTCCTGTCACGCTGACAGGTGCATGGCCAAGGAGTTTTGCAGTAGGGGTGGGCAGAGCCTGATGGGAACTGAGAGACTAGCTTCAGGTCAAGTCTGCCTTGCTGATTGACCGCACACAGCAGTGGGAACATCCATGGCAACTATTCAGTACAATAGTGACTTTTGAATTAGCCCACTGCTATCCACGTTCAATCAAAAGTAGGATGGACATGATGTGGAACTAGTCTCAGCTCTCTATCAGGTTCCACCCACCCAGTGAAGTTAGTCATTGCACAAATGTGGCCATTACCATATCTGGGTGATGACACTACCAGTATCCCCGGTCCTTGTCTGCATACACCTTTTCGAAAATCTCTGGGCTGACAGCTGAATGGGGCTGAGGATACAATACTGTCTGGGAAGCTGTTCGATTAATGACAGCCTCCCAGCACAGACATGTCTACTCTGAGCTTAGAATTGGGTCTTAATTACCTCCCAGTTTCCTAACCTGCGAATTGGCGGTAATTCTTTTGCTGACATAGTGGCAGCTTCTTAAAGTGGCTGTAGTTAGAAAAACCTCAATTTGGCACACACGTAGATAACATTAGGAAAGCTAGCACAAACGCTTGCTTGAATAAGGGTAGCTCCAAAGCGAACTACTGTTTGCTTTGGAGCGCCCCTTGATGACGTCGGTGTGACAAAACCGGTTGGGCGTGGCCTACTCGATGTGGACGTTAGAGAGCCTTGCTGTTCTGTGCTGTATGGGAGAGATCCGCGGAGAGCGTTAACTGTATCTCAACCCTTTTTTGCGATTGAAGCTGGTGTCTGTTGGACACCTTGTTTGTGAGTTTCCTTATACCTTTTTTATTAAAGAGATAAATGAAAAAAACGTATTGCACCATTATGTTCTCTTTTTTGTCCCTGAGTGTACTGCATGCTCTCATGGAGGTATGAGAAAGAGTGGAGAAGTTCATCATAAGAACTTGGGCTGCAAAGTTGTTTGTCTGTGATTATTATTATCTGGAAGTATCTGAAACATCACCATATCTATTTGGACATCGGGTTCATTGCTCCCAGAGCACAAGCACTGTTGCTGGTTTATAATCTGACCAGCCATTAGCTCTGGTGAGTTCATTTAATCTCCTTTGGTGGTGGATTTTTCACACAAGTCACTGAAGATATATATTTTTTGGACACTAATTTATGTTTGGACACTATAATTATTTATTTAAAACACTGTTTTTTGGATGATGATATACACCTTTGTATAAGTTTGTTATTAGCGCATACCTTTTAATTAGAACTACTGTCAGAAGTGGTATGAGAGCTTTAATGAATTCCTGGGACTGGGTCACACACCTTGAGACCAGATGATCTGACACACCTGTCAGTCAGGATCACATTAAGTGATTACATTAAATAAGGGGGAAATTAAATAACAGCTAAAACATGCAAAGGGTTTGCAGGATGCCTATTAAAGAGATTGCAAATCAACTGGAGTGCAATTTGTGCACAAAAAAAAAAAAAGTTATTTGGGTCTGTTTTGAAAATAAAGTGACAGTTTTACAATAGTGTGGTTAAGTTAGCAACTGTTTGTCTCTCCTTTTTTGTGATGCAACTGTGATATAGTGACAAAATGTAATGTAACCTCAGACACATCTTAGAACAGAAGTGGTAAGGAGCATAGATGTTCTTTTTCATAGCAGCTTATTTATAAAACAAACTGCGTACAGAAAATAAAATACATTTCTAACTTGTGTTATAAAAGAACAGATTAGAAACCTCAAACAAGGCAGTCTTGATAAATGTCTCTTAAAGTCTGAAAAAATGAGGAAACAAAACATTCAGTACATCACTGGAAGACATGCATATCTCCCCATATTTTGGCTCTTTATTAATGCTGCAAGCACCAAAAATTCTAATTGACCCTGCCTGTAACCTGATAAAGTCCTAACTTCCTATAGTGAGCTGACAACGCTGCTTCTGCTGCCCTAAAATCCAAAGCAGTGTTCTCTACCACAGAACTAGAATACACCTCCATGCTATACAGATAAGGAGAGGGGGAGGTGTTCTGTTGTCTAGCTGAAAGATGGGCAGGACAGACAACTACTTGACAGTTCAGTGTCGCAAAGGCACTGTTATTAGAACGCTAGATGAATTTAGATGAACACAGGATTTTGGAAGTCCAAACAGGTATTTTGTCTCTACTTTAAGCATTTTAAAATAGGTAAAATATGGGGAAATATCATGTGTTGCAGTGATGTACTGTACAAGTACGTACGAAGGCATAATACTTGGTAATCAGTCCCCACAGAATCTGGTACTGCCATTCCCACAGTGCACATAACACATATAAAAGCGTAAATTATTGTGAATGGATCATTATAGTTTCATCGTGTAGATCAAGTACAGCCAAAAAAACAAGTACCTGCAGGCTCCACATTCAAATGTACCATTGCCCAAAATGACATTCTGGGCTGTCAGGCGTTCCCGACTGTTGACAATCACATTCACAGATAAATTTCAGAAAAATCTCAACTTCCTCAGTAAATCCCAATGGCTTAATTTTAATGGGCTCAGTTTGTTCCTTTTTTTTGGGGCACTTGTGAGCAGTTAAGCTGATCTCAAATTCAACCTAAAAAAAAAAAAAAAAAAAAATATTTCAGCTAATACTATGTGGCCAAACAAAAAATATCCAAATATCACACTATGATGCAGATATTTTAGTGTACATTAAAGTGATTGTAAATGCTTTTTTTTCCCTTTTTAAAACAGTTTTATACTTACCTGCTATGTGAAATGGAATTGCACAGAGCGGCACCAATGCTCCTCTTGGGTCTTCCACCAAAGCTCCTGGCTCCTTCCCTCTGCCAAGTGCCCCCATAGAAAGGTGCTTGATACAGAAAGCAGGACTCGGCCCCACCCCTTGCTCCCTCATCACTGGCTTTGATTGACAGCAGCAGGAACCATTGACTTCAGCAAAGCCAGTGAGACCAGGAAGTGAGGAGAAAGAAGAGCTGCAGACGTGCACCTTGCTGGATCATATAAGGGCTCAGGTAAGTAGAAGAGGGAAAAAAAAAAAAAAAAACAGTAAAAGGGGGATAAAAGGGTGCCGACGGAAGAAGATTGGTTGATCAGAACTAATCAGTTATGTGAGATGGGAAAGACTTTATTATACACACAGACGGGATGGAGATGTACCATAAAAAGTGGGGAAAATGGGAAGAATTTAGACAGAAAGTGAAATATAGTTGATTTACACCTCTTGACGAATAATGTATTTTAGAAATGAGTTTTAGAAAGAAAAGGATAGGTGCTATATATTTATTTTGTTCTCTCTCTCGAAATAGAAAAGAAAAGCAGAGTGGGATGGGATGGAGGGGGGAGGGGGGGATATGGGGATGGGTTGTGGGCGGGGAGGGGCTTAGGAGGGAATCAGGGTTGTGGGAAATTAAATAAATTATGAGGAATTTAATGATTTTTAATGAAGAAAATGTTTGTTAATTATATCTGATTGAAAACCAATAAATATTTATAATGAAAAAATATAAGGCTCAGGTAAGTAGAAGAAGGGAAAAAACAGTAAAAGGGGGATACCAATGCCTAAACTTTTTTTACCTTAATGCAAGGAATGCATTAAAGTAAAAAATATTTAACTTTATAGGAGATAATGTATATGCCATGTAATCTGCCTTAAATCTGACTTCCTCCTTCCCAATGGTGCATTTTGTTTTTGTGCTGCGCTAGGCAACAATCAAGATTGGGGAGAGATCGGCAGATATTGTGTGCTGGAATTCCCCCATTTCACAATGTGTGTATGTGAGCTCTTCCCTCTCCCTGCCATGGTCAGCTGTCCGCTATCAGATGATCACCCCTCACCTGTCTCCCTCCAGGTGGACTCTCCACTCTCCCTTAAGATCGACCCTGGCGCCAGCCCTGGTCCCCTGCTACATGAGTCCCTTCTTCAGCGGGGATGGTAGGGTGTGGTTTGGGATTTTCTCATCAGTGCCCCCCCCCCCCTCAAAATTTCACCCTAGGCAAACGCCATGTCTGTCTCGCGGTAAATACTCCCCTGCTCCTTCCCACAGGAAGGAAAATTTTAAGTCACTATCATTATTGTGTGTAAGACGGTATTATGATCGGTGATGTGTTATTGCTGTGTATTTTTAGAAAATGAACAGAGAAAAGTGATGAACTGAATGCCCAGGAACATGTAAGAAAAATATTTAATGTTTAACTCCAGTCAAGCAGCTAAATAAGCTGTGTAGATCTCAGGAATGAATGGACAATTACAAATCTATTAGCAGGTAAAAGAGTGCCCATTTATGTACAGTGGGGATCGAAAGTTTGGGCACCCCAGCTAAAAAATTTGTATTAATGTGCATAAAGAAGCCAAGGAAAGATGGAAAAATCTCCAAAGGCATCAAATTACAGATTAGACATTCTTATAATATGTCAACAAAAGTTAGATTTTATTCCATCATTTACACTTTCAAAATAACAGAAAACAAAAAAAATGGCGTCTGCAAAAGTTTAGACACCCTGCAGAGTTAATATCTTGTACTGCCCCCTTTAGGCAAGTATCACAGCTTGTAAACGCTTTTTGTAGCCAGCCAAGAGTCTTTCAATTCTTGTTTGAGGTATCTTTGCCCATTCTTCCTTACAAAAGTCTTCCAGTTCTTTGAGATTTCTGGGCTGTCTGTCACGCACTGCTCTTTTAAGGTCTATTCATAGATTTTTCAATTATGTGTGAGGTCAGGAGATTGTGAAGGCCATGGCAAAACCTTCAGTTTACGCCTCTTGATGTAATCCCCTGTGGATTTCGAGGTGTGTTTAGGATCATTATCCATTTGTAGAAGCCATCCTCTCTTTAACTTCAGCTTTTTCACAGATGGCATCAAGTTACCATCCAAAATTTGATGAAATTTTATTGAATCCATTTTTCCTTCTACTCGTGAGATGTTCCCTGTACCACTGGCTGCAACACAACCCCAAAGCATGATTGATCCAACCCCATGCTTAACAGTTGGACAGAGGTTCTTTTCATTAAATTCTGTGCCCCTTCTTCTCCAAACGTACCTTTGCTCATTCCGGCCAAAAAGTTCAATTTTAACCTCATCGGTCCACAGAACTTGTTTCCAAAATGCATCAGGCTTGTCTATATGTTCATTTGCAAAGTTCAAACGATGATTTTTTTGTGGTGAGGACGTAGAAGAGGTTTTCTTCTGATGACTCTTCCATGAATACCATATTTGTACAAGTATCTCTTTATAGTGGAATAGTGTACCACAACTCCAGTGTCTGCCAGATCTTTCTGGAGGGATCGTGCAGTCAAACATGGGTTTTGAATTGTTTTTCTCACAATCCTGCGAGCTGTTCTGTCTGATATTTTTCTTGGTCTTCCAGATCTTGCTTTAACTTCCACTGTTCCTGATGACTGCCATTTCTTAATTACGTTCCGAACAGAGGATATTGACATCTGAAAACGCTTTGCTATCTTCTTATAGCCTTCTCCAGCTTTGTCAGCGTCAACTATTTTCAGTTTCAGTTTTCTAGACAACTGCTTAGAAGAACCCACGGTGCTGATTGTTGGGGCAAGGTCAGATGAGTCTGGGCATTTAAAACCTTTGAGATTGACATCACCTGGTCTTCCCAGACGATGATTGAGAACAATCCATGACACTGGCATCTCTCAGCTTGGCAAAGGGGGCAGTGCATGCTATAAATTCTGCAGGGTGCCCAAACTTTTGCAGACGCCATTTTTTTGTTTTCTGTTATTTTGAAAGTGTAAATGATGGAAATAAAAGCTAACTTTTGTTGACATATTATAAGAATGTCTAATCTGTAATTTGATGCCTTTTGGAGATTTTTCCATCTTTCCTTGGCTTCTTTATGCACATTAATACAAATTTTTAGCTGGGGTGCCCAAATTTTCGATCCCCACTGTTATATCACTTGTCCATTTAGAAGTCTGCCTGAAGTTCAGATATAAGAAAATGACATACAACGAGCATAAGTTAAACTGCAAATACTTACTTGATCTCCCAGAGAGATATTGGAGCACTTCCTTCCATTCTCTCCTGTTCCAATCACTCCGTTCTTACAGAATGACTTATAATTGATTGTGACACCTTCTGGCAATTTGCTGTTTTCTAGAATAAGCTCTGAAGACAGTGACTGGATTAAAAAGAAAAAAAAATATATATATTTTTACATATGAAGAACAAAGCTTTGAAACAGGAAGCAGACAGGAGCCGAGATCATTATCTGGCCATTGTCAGAAGTGCGTACTTACGTTGTAGGAATCAATGATCAGCTGAATTACATTACTAGAGTTTGAAGACAGAGTTCCCACAGCTGATTTTGGGATAAGGTTTTTCAGCTCCTAGAAATGAGAAGAAACACTTTAACAGTTTTACAAAATAACTATATTAGTGGGGTAATTGTCTGGGAAACAAAAAAAAAACCCAACAACAACGCACACACTTTATATACCTTGTAAACAGGCTGAAATTCCTCAGTAACAGCAAAGATTGTTTGTATGTTGTTTTCACTGAGCTTCTGGACCAAATGAGCGATTGAGGGGTAATCCTGTGAATGTAAGTATGAAACCGTATTAAAGTATCTTGTATTTGGGCAACACCTGTAATAGGATATATATTAAAAAAAAAAAAAACACCGAGATAGATATATATATATATATATATATATATATATATATATATATAGTTTACTAAACCCACAATAGTAAAATCAGTCTGTATATGCAGTAAAGCATGCTTAATATACTTACTGTGGAACTTAAGGGGTTAATCCTCTGCACTGTGTAAAAACTATGTTTGATCCTGACTTCTCTGATCCCCCCCTTCTTCCAGTGTCCCCTCTTATCCCCTGACAACACACAGCGTGTGGAGACACTCTGCACATGCTCAGTTTGGTGTGTATTGCTGGAGAGGTTTTTTTTTTTTTAAATTTCTTTCTTTGGAGAGTGCAGCACAGGGACAATCAGCACTGTCCAGACAGAAGTCAGGGGTCCTGCATTCCCCTAGAGCAGAATGAAAAAGTCTCCTACAAGCTTTAACATGTGCTCGGCTGGACACTGATTGAAATCAGATATGCAATATACTGCTGATGAAAAAAGGTATTTAGCAGTTTATATTTACTAAAATAATTGCACTTCCATGTTGTGTGTACTGTGGGAGACCAGATATAGTGAATGCAGGGTCCGGGTTTAGTAACCCTTTAAACACACACAGTTATGACCAAAAAAAAAAAAATTCTACACACACCTATACATAGACACACAGTTATGGCCAAAAATTGGTACCCCTGCATTTCTGTCAGATAATGCATCATTTCTTCCAGAAAATTGTTGCAATTATAAAATGTTTAGGCATTCTCATCTTCTTTTGTTTGTATTGGTATGAGACAAAAAAGTGGGGGAGACAAAAAGCCAAATCTGACACATTCCACGCGAAACCCTATAATAGAACGGACAAAATTGTCACCCTCAACTTAATATTTGGTAGCACACCCCTTGGGAAAAATAACTGAAATCAAAAGCTTCCTGTAACCAATTAGTTTCTTACACCTCTCTCCTGGAATTTTGGACCGCTCTTCTTTCACCAACTGCTCCAGGTCTCTCAGATTGGAAGGGTACCTTTGTTGCAATCTTTGATAAATTTTTTCTCTTTCATCCACGTCTAGAGAGATTAGTTACAGTGCCATCCGCTTTAAACTTCTTGACAATGTTGCACACAGTGTACACAGGAACATTAGGATCTCTGGAGACGGCCTTGTAACCTTGAGATTGCCCATGCTTTTCCACAATTTTTGTTCTCAAATCCTCAGACAATTCTTCTCCATGCTGCATATGGCACACAGAGACACACAACAGAAAAGCCAATTTTTCAACATTTTAACTGGTTGCCATTTTGATTCCTATATTGTCAGCACGTGTTTGATACAGTTGAGTTTAATTACAAATTACAGGAACATCACAAACTTGGAATGCAATTATTTCCAATTAGACGCCAATAATTGTATCCAGTCCATTTTTGGGTTTTTTGCGTGGAATGTGCCAGATTTGGCTTTAATTTTCTCTACTTTTTGTGTCATACCAACACAAACAAAAGAAATAAACATGAGAATGCTTAAACAATTTCCTGGGTGAAGTGGTATATATCTGATAAAATGTGGGGGTGCCAATAGTGTGTGTGTGTGGTGTGTGTGTGTGTGTGTATGTGTGTGTGTGTGTGTGTGTGTGTGTGTGTATAATGTGTGTGTGTGTGTGTGTATGTGTGTGTGTGTGTGTGTGTGTATTTTTTTTTTTTTTTTCCTTTTCACAATGCCCATGTGATTACAGGAAATGCTACAATACTCCTAAACCTGTATAGGCTAGTTTGGTGTACGTGATCCAGCTTGCATGTGCCACCCGCCCGCAGTAAAAGTTTTTAATTACCAATTAATTATATCCGAGACAGAGCAATAACAAATATCAAATATATATAATTTTTCTAAGATTTATAATTAAAGTCTTACAAAATGTAGGATCCAACTTAATGTAGTCTAAGATAAGAAAAATTATCAAAAACGACAATTGCAGACTCACATAATAATGGCTCATTGTGTACATATTGTCTCGCATGTGACATTTCCCATCATTTGGCAGAACGATTCCTCCTAACTTGCCATCACCAGCAAAATGGAAGCCAGCATCAGTAGAAAACACCAACAAACGTGTGACATTCCTCCATCCAATGTGTTCCTAAAATAAAAACACTACAGCATGAAGGACCTGTTTTCATGACAGAAAAAAAGCAATGCTCAAATGCTTATAGAAACATAAAATTGCCACATCCTCCTTTTGATTAGCAATGCCACCACAGCAATATAGCTAGGTCAAATGACCGCAAATAGGATTACCAGTGCCATTCTTTTATATAGTATGGTGTTGATGTACAAGTGCACAGCACTGTCTAAAATCAGTACATATGGCACAAGTTAGAATGGGATTATATGAGATTTATCACCTTGACATGAAGGGGGGTGGGGGTGTTCTGTAGCTCTGTAGGGAATTGGGCGAGCCGATAAACACTTCTTAACCCCTTCACGCCTAAGGGTAAAACAAATCTTAATGCCTAAGCACAATCTTGCAACTTTGACCTGTGTTCATAAAACCGTACACATTATCACAACTACTTTGCACATCCAGGTGGATTATACCTTGTTTTTTTTCGGGACAAATTGGGCTTTCATTGCGTGGTAAATGGTAATGTAGATCTGATTTTTCTTTTGTATTATCAAAGGAAAACTGGCCAAAATAGTAAATTTAGCTGTGTTTCTATCATAACCTACCACCAAAAAACAACCCAAAATAAATTTTCCAGCTCTTGACGACGCAGCGATAACATATTTTCCAGCGTATAAGACTACTTTTTATACTTAAAAATAAATATACCCCAAAAATTGGGGGTCGTCTTATACGCGGGGTATAAAATGTGAACCTTGAGTTCGTTTGGGTCAAGCTGGCTGGATGTTTGGTAATACTGTACATACAGTATACCGCGCTGAGCCAAGCTGGCTCAAAACAAATGTCCCTATGACAGATTAATCTGTCAGCCCGCTGGATGTGCGGTATATACAATATACTGCGCTGAGCCAATCGGTTTCAAAACGTACTGGTACATCCCTACGGTAATCATCAGCCCGCTGGATGCGTGTATGTACGATAGCTGTGGCTACATACAGTATACACTGGGCCAATCAAGGCGAGCGATGTATTCTACTAATGAATACAAAGCCTGCTCGGATTGGCTAAGTCAGAGAGGCGGGCTGATGATGTCACAACCTCAGCCAATCTGAGCAGGTTTTGTATTCATTAGTAGAATACATCGCTCTCCGTGATTGGCCCAGTGTATACTGTATGTAGCCTCAGCTACTGTACATACACACATCCAGCGGGTTGATTACAGTAGGGACGTACCGGTATGTTTTGAACCCGCTTGGCTCAGCACAGTATACTGTATATACACCGCACATCCAGCGGGCTGACAGATTAATCTGTCATAGGGATATTTGTTTTGAGCCAGCTTGGCTCAGCGCGGTATACAGTATGTACATTACTGCACATCCAGCGGGCTGTATATATACATATGTCATTCAAACCACTGAAATAAAGCAATATGTGTGAAGTAGTGATGGGTCACTTATAGAAAATCATGTGTAGTGTCTGCTTGTATATCACTGATGTTTTTTTGTCAGGTTGTATTGAACTGAAAACTCCTTAAATAAAATAAAAAAAAAAAAAAAAAGTGCAGAAATAGTTGGTTCCATTGAGCACCATGCCCTCCCAGTACTTACACCACACACAGCGACTTGCATAATTGCATCAAATCCACCTTCTGGGGAATCCAGATTACCAGAGATCTGCTGCTTGCCTACTAGTTCATTAAAAAGGTTTCCATTACTTGTGAGGCTGAGTACATTCTTGTAACTGAACGGACTGGTACAATTCTGATCTGAGGTGCACGGGTTGATGAGTTTAGCAGGAGTAGTACTAATATATGGCATGACAGTTTTCTCTACAAAAGACCCAAAACCTGAAGCAAAACAAAGTATAAAGTAAAAATTTAGTGAATTTTCAACATACAAAGGGCAACTTACATCAAACAAAACAAGCTAAAACTTAAAACCCAAAAACACTGGGACGCTGTGTAAAATCGACATAAAACAAATGCAATGATTTGCAAATCTCATAAACCATTATTTAATTCACAATAGAAAACATGTCAAATGTTTGAACGGAGAACATGCACAATGTTAATTTTAAAAAAGTGATGTGTAAATTGACGGCTCTATACAAGTACCTGTAAAAATAATTTGGCAAGAGCTCAGTAACATGATTGAGTATAAAAACAGCATCTTAGAGAGTCAAAGTTTCTCAGAAGTAAAGATGGGCAGAAGTTCGACCATCTGTGAAAGTTGCATCTTAAAACGGTCAAACAATTTCATAATAATGTTCAACGTAAAATTGCAAAGTCTTTAAATATATTATCTACAGTACATAATATCAAGATTACGACAATCTGGAGAAATCTTTGTGTGCAAGGGACAAGGCTGAAACACCTTATTGGATGCCCGTGATCTTCAGGCCTTCAGACGGCTCTGCACTGAAAACAGGCATGATTCTATGATGGACATCACTGCATGGGAGTAAACAAACATTTAAAATAATGTGGCTGCACAAGTGTGCACACCCTCCTATAACTGGGGATGTAGCTGTATTCAAAATTAAGCAATCACATTCACAATCATGTTAAATAGGAGTCAGTACACACCTGCCATCATTTAAAGTGCCTCTGATTAACCCCCCAAAATGTTCAGCTGTTCTAGTAGGTCTTTCCTGACATTTTCTTAGTTGCATCCTACAGCAAAAGCCTTGGTCCGCAGAAAGATTTCAAAGCATCAGAGGGATCTCATTGTTAAAAGGGATCAGTCAGGAGAAGGGTACAAAAGAATTTCCATAGCATGAGATATACCATGGAACACCGTGAAGACAGTCAAGTGGAGAAATATGGCGCAACAGTGACATTACCAAAGAACTGGATGTCCCTCCAAAATTGATGAAAAGACGAGAAGAAAACTGGTCTGGGAAGCTGCCAAGAGCAACATTAAAAGAGCTGCAGGAATATATGGCAAGTACTGGCTGTGTGGTACATGTGACAACAATCTCCCGTATTTTTCATATATCTGGGCTATGGGGTAGAGTGGCAAGACGGAAGCCTTTTTCTTACAAAGAAAAAATATCCAAGTCCAGCTAAATTTTGCAAAAAAACACATCTGAAGTCTCCCAAAAGCATGTGGGAAAATGTGTTATGGTCTGATGAAACCAAGGTTGAACTTTTTGGCCACAGTTCCAAAAAATATGTTTTTGGTGCAAAAGCAACACGGCACATCACCAAAAGAACACCATACCCACAGCGAAGCATGGTGATGGCAGCATCATGCTTTGGGGCTGTTTTTCTTCAACTGGAACCTTAGTCAAGGTAGATGGCATTATGAACAGTTCCAAATACAAGTCAATATTGCCACAAAACCATCAGTCTTCTGCTAGAAAGCTGAACATAAAAAGAGGAACTTCATCTTTCAGCATGACAACCACCTAAAGCATACATCCAAATCAACAAAGGAATGGCTTCACCAGAAGAAGATTCAAGTTTCGGAATGGCCCAGCCAGAGCCCAGACCTGAATCTGATCAAAAATCTGTGGGGTGATGTGAAGAGGGCTGTGCACAGGAGATGCCCTTGCAATCTGACAGATTTGGAGTGTTTTTGCAAGGAAGAGTGGAAAATATTGCCAAGTCAAGATGTACCATGCTGATAGACTCATCCCCAAAAGACTGAGTGCTGGAATCAAACCAAAAGGTGCTTCTACAAAGGATTAGTTTAAGGATGTGCACACTTATGCAATCATATTATTGTCATTTTTTACTTTCCTCCACCTAAAAGATATCAGTTTGTTGTTCAACTGATATGTACAGTTTATAGGTTACATTAAAAGGCAGAAAAAGTTCTGAAATGATTTCTGTGTGTAGACTTTCTATAGTGAGTGCGCGCACACACATATATACATAATTATATATATATATATATATATATATTATATATATATATATATACATATATATATATATATATATACACACACATTACATACATATACACACACATACATAAAAAAAAAAAAAATCTATATATATATATATATATATATATATATATATATATTATATTATATTATATACACACACACACACCCATATGAAGCCCATAGTAACGAGAATAAAAGGAAGCTTACAAATACATGTAAAAACAATCACAGCTATTACTCCAGCACTTTTTCTTTCTGAAATGTTCCCTGGTACATTGGCACTGCTGGTGTTTAAAATTCTTGCACTCTAAGCCATCCACAAGAACAATACAAGTTTGTGAACAGAGATAGATCTGACTGAATCTTCAATCTTGGTTTACTACCACTATGTGCACTGAGGACAAACTGATACAGTTTTACCCCCTTCCTGCCCAGGCCAATTTTCAGGTTTCAGCGCTCTTACACTTTGAATGACAATTGTACGGTCATGCAACACTGTACCCAAACTAAAATGTTATTTTCTTCACACAACTAGAGCTTTCTTTTGGTGGTATTTAATCACCGCTGGGGTTTTTATTTTTTGCTAAATGAAAAAAAAAAAGACCAAAAATTGTGAAAAAACCCAACATGTTTTTCTTTGTTATAAAAGTTTGCAAATAAATAATTGTTCTTCATAAATTTAGGCCAAGATGTATTCTGCTACATGTCTTTGGTGAAAATAACCCAAATTAGTATTTATTATTTACTCTGTAGGAAATTTAGAGTTCACAAACTATGGGATATATCTGAAAATTGATCAATCCTGAAGTATTGACAGCCAATCTAATTTCTTGAGGCCCAAAAATGTCAGAACAGTACATATATCCCCCAAATGACCCCTTTTTGCAAAGTAGAGATTCCGACATTTCATAAGAGGCATGGCGAGTTTTTTGAAGTTGTAATTTTGCTATAATTTTTTGGAAAATTAAGAAATTAAAAAAAATGTTCACAATTTATTTTTTACATACTGTCACCAGTGCAGTACAACATCATCGCACAACTGGTGTGGCAGTGATTAGGGACACTGGTGACAGTACGGAAATAAAATTGATACTTTTTTATTACTTTTGTTAAATTTTTTTTCTTTGTTTTTGTCATATTATTACACTATGACCAAAGTACCAGTACCATTGTACTACTTTGGGGAAGTGATCAGTGTATATATATATATATATATATATATATTTTTTTTTTTTTTTTTTTTTTACACACAATTTGTTTGCTTATATGCAAGCATTTAACTGAATGAAAATCAATTCATTCAGGTTTTTTTTGTGATTAGCTGTCATTGGCCACAGCTAATAACATGCCAGATGGGCTGTGATTGACCCAGCCTGTGCATGTGATCACTGTGACCATTCACAGCTAAAACACACTTGTATACAATGGATGGCATGAAAGGAAGCCATCCATTGTATACAAGTGTCATGTGACCTGCTGCAATTGCTCACAGCAGGTCACATGTTACTGGCAACTGGGCAGGTACACAGATACAGTCAGGTCCATAAATATTGGGACATCGACACAATTCTAACATTTTTGGCTCTATACACCACCACAATGGATTTGAAATGAAACGAACAAGATGTGCTTTAACTGCAGACGGTCAGCTTTAATTTGAGGGTATTTAAATCTAAATCAGGTGAACGGTGTAGGAATTACAACAGTTTGCATATGTGCCTCCCACTTGTTAAGGGACCAAAAGTAATGGGACAATTGGCTTCTCAGTTGTTCCATGGCCAGGTGTGTGTTATTCCCTCATTATCCCAATTACGAGCAGATAAAAGGTCCAGAGTTCATTTCAAGTGTGCTATTTGCATTTGGAATCTGTTGCTGCCAACTCTCAAGATGAGATCCAAAGAGCTGTCACTATCAGCGAAGCAAGCCATCATTAGGCTGAACAAACAAAACAAACCCATCAGAGAGATAGCAAAAACATTAGGCGTGGCCAAAACAACTGTTTGGAACATTCTTAAAAAGAAGGAACGCACCGGTGAGCTCAGCAACACCAAAAGACCCGGAAGACCACGGAAAACAACTGTGGTGGATGACCGAAGAATTCTTTCCCTGGTGAAGAAAACACCCTTCACAACAGTTGGCCAGATCAAGAACACTCTCCAGGAGGTAGGTGTATGTGTGTCAAAGTCAACAATCAAGAGAAGACTTCACCAGAGTGAATACAGAGGGTTCACCACAAGATGTAAACCATTGGTGAGCCTCAAAAACAGGAAGGCCAGATTAGAGTTTGCCAAACGACATCTAAAAAAGCCTTCACAGTTCTGGAACATCATCCTATGGACAGATGAGACCAAGATCAACTTGTACCAGAGTGATGGGAAGAGAAGAGTATGGAGAAGGAAAGGAACTGCTCATGATCCTAAGCATACCACCTCATCAGTGAAGCATGGTGGTGGTAGTGTCATGGCGTGGGCATGTATGGCTGCCAATGGAACTGGTTCTCTTGTATTTATTGATGATGTGACCGCTGACAAAAGCAGCAGGATGAATTCTGAAGTGTTTTGGGAAATATTATCTGCTCATATTCAGCCAAATGCTTCAGAACTCATTGGACGCCGCTTCACAGTGCAGATGGACAATGACCCAAAGCATACTGCAAAAGCAACCAAAGAGTTATTTAAGGGAAAGAAGTGGAATGTTATGCAATGGCCAAGTCAATCACCTGACCTGACTCCGATTGAGCATGCATTTCACTTGCTGAAGACAAAACTGAAGGAAAATGCCCCAAGAACAAGCAGGAACTGAAGACAGTTGCAGTAAAGGTCTGGCAGAGCATCACCAGGGATGAAACCCAGCGACTGGTGAGGTCTATGCGTTCCAGACATCAGGCTGTAATTGACTGCAAAGGATTTGCAACCAAGTATTAAAAAGTGAAAGTTTGATTTATGATTATTATTCTGTCCCATTACTTTTGGTCCCTTAACAAGTGGGAGGCACATATGTAAACTGGTGTAATTCCTACACCGTTCACCTGATTTGGATGTAAATACCCTCAAATTAAAGCTGACAGTCTGCAGTTAAAGCACATCTTGTTTGTTTCATTTCAAATCCACTGTGGTGGTGTATAGAGCCAAAAATGTTAGAATTGTGTCGATGTCCCAATATTTATGGACCTGACTGTATGTCATCGGCCGTGTCCCAGGTACACAGCCAGTGACAGATCTCGCTACAATGCGGCCCTGCTGGCACATGCAAAGCACGATCCGGGAAGGACATCATATGACACCCTATTGGAGGGACGAAGACCCTAGTTAAAACACTTAACACTTTAACCACTTGCCGCCCAGCCTATTATCAAATGACGGCCGAGCAGTAAGTGGTTAAAGACATTATGCACGTTTAAAAGTTTTTCTTGTTTTAACTAGGTTTTTAAAAGTAGTTCTATTTCCTGGGTTCTTTAGATTCCTTAAAGGGATTCAAAGGGTAAAACATGTTTTACCTTGACGCATCTTTCCGCATTAAAGTGAAAAACGTTTTGCCACTTGCCCCCAACAAATACTTACCCGAGTCCTGTATCCATCCAGTGCTGTGCCCTTCTGCCGGTCTTCTCTCCAGCTCTTACAAGCTTGGCTGAATACTGGAACATCCAGGATGAAAACAGGAAAACTGCTTTTAATATTTTAAAGTAAATTTGTTTAATTGTGGCGATTTTTGATTGCCACTTAAGTGTTGTATGAATGTGTGGTGAATGATTGCATTTACCTGCAAACCAAACAAACATGTATAATCAAGGGCTTCGTCCCTATCCCTTCCGTGGTTGTTTATATTAAATACTTTAAAATATTTAACCCTTTGCTACCACCAATGTTTGTCATACACCAGCATACATTGAAAATCTGACAAGTCAACCTGTCAGGTGGAAGCAAGCGCTTCCATGAATCCCAAGTGTTGCTAATTGAGCACAATCTGTGATCCATTAACTTCAGCAAGGAGGCGAGACACAAAATAGCATCACATTAGGGAACATTGTTCCCTTAAGTGATAGAAAAAAAAAAAAAAGTGTAAAAAATTAAAGTTACACCCAAGCAGCACATTTTAATACAATTCAAATTGCACAGCTACTTTGATTTAGAGAAGGGTTTGTTCTTATCTCTTCTATGACAAGTCTGTGATGTAACTCTTACCTATCCTGAAATCTGAAGTAATTTGTTCCATTTCCCTCATGAGAGCAGTGCCAAGGCTTTTTACATTCTCTAAATCATCTTTCATGGAATAGGACAGGTCCATAAGATAGTACAAGTCAATAGGATAATCTTCTGCTCTTCTGAATGTTAAATTAAATGTCTGGGGCTCTCCTGTACAAAATAAGAAATGGAAATAGAAATGAGAGAATCCATGTGACAAGGTTCATACAGAGAAACCCACTATACCCAAAACATATGTATGCACCTGATCTTAGTTCAAATGTTAACTGCTGGGGTCGGATCTGTGTGATTTTGGAGGGGTCCATACGCTCTCCCTTGGCTTTATTTGTTATAGGGTTGTCCTTCATCTTTTTTTTGCTTCCTCTGGGATTCTGAATGGCTTCCTCTGGACAGCCCTTACTTTTCAACGCAGCAAGGTCATCACAGCGTGCAGATGTGGGTTCACCTTCTTGCAAAAAATCCTAAAATTAAGAATAAGCAATAAAGTTTAATATGCATGAAAAGTAAATATACAATCAACTGCATAAAATAATATTGGCATCTAAATTATGTCAGTTTAGGACAGCATGAATTCTACCATTCTTTTTTCTTAGTTTAACTGGTTCATCAAAAGTTATGAGTATGATCAAGGCTTAACACTACAAGTCAGTCACCAACAAAACTAGAAACTGAAGCATTTCAGCCAAGTTCTTGGGTTAAATATTTAGAAGAAAAGGCTTAAAGCGGTTCTAAAGGTTCATTTTTTTAAATTTTTTTTTGTAAAATAACAAACAGGTCTATACTTACCTACTGTGTGCAGTGGCTTTGCAGAGCAGCCTGGTTCCTCCTCTTCTTGGGTCCCCTGCAGGCTCTCCTGGCACCTCCTGTCTGTTGTGTGACCCCACAGCAAGCAGCTTGTTATCGGGGCACCCGCTGCTCTGTGTGTACATTCACACAGAGCCATGGCTTGGCCCCGCCCCCTCCCCTCATTGACTGGCTGTGATTGACAGCCGCGGGAGCCAATATCTCAGCTAATGAGGAAGAGACCTGGGGCAGCCAAGCATGTCATTCACATCGCTGAATCGTGATGGGGTTCACGAAAGTATTGGGGGGGCTGGGGGCACTGCTGCACACAGAAGGCTTTTTACCTTCATGCACAGAATGCATGAAGGTAAAAAACCATCAGCCTTTACACAACCACTTTTAAAACAAAAGGCTTAAATAACTATTTGAAAACATGTCCATATACAGTTAAGGAAATAAGTATTTGATCCCCTGCTGATTTTGAATGTTTGCCCACTCACAAAGAAATGATCAGTCTACAAATCAAATGGTAGGTGTATTGTAACACTGAGAGACAGAACAACAACAAATTCAAAAGAAATGCATGTCTAACAAATTATGCACTGATTTGCATGTTCATGAGAGAAATAAATATTTGATCCCCTTCACAAAACATGACTTAGTACTTGGTGGCAAATCCATTGTTTGCAATCACAGAGGTCAGACGTTACCTGTAGTTGGCCACCAGGTTTGCACACATCTCAGGAGGGATTTTGGTCCACTCCTCTTGGCAGATCCTCTCCAAGTCATTAAGGTTTGGTGGCTGACATTTGGCAACGTAAACTTTCAGCTCCCTCCACAGATTTTCAGTCGGATTAAGGTCTGGAGACTGGCTAGGCCATTCCAGGACCTTAATGTGCTTCTTCTTGAGCCACTCCTTTGTTGCCTTGGCCGTGTATTTTGGGTCATTGTCATGCTGGAACACCCATCCACGACCCATTTTCAATGCCGTGCCTGAGGGAAGAAGGTTCTCACCCAAGATTTGACAGTACATTGCCCCATCCATCGTCCCTTTGATGCGGTGCAGTTGTCCCGTCCCCTTAGCAGAAAAACACCCCCAAAGCAGAATGTTTCCACCACCATGTTTGACAGTTGAGATGGTGTTCTTGGGGTCATAGGCAGCATTCCTCCTCCTCCAAACACGGCGAGTTGAGTTGATGCCATAGAGCTCGATTTTGGTCTCATCTGACCACACTTTCAACTAGTCGTCCTCTCCATCATTCAGATGTTCAGTGGCAAACTTCAGACAGGCCTGGACATGTGCTTTCTTGAGCAGAGAGACCTTGCTGGCACTGCAGTATTTCAATCCTTGTCAGCATAGTGTGTTACCAATTGTTTTCTTGGTGACTGTGGTCCCAGCTGCCTGGAGATCATTGACAAGATCCTCATGTGTAGTTCTGGGATGATTCCTCACTGTTCTCATCATTGACACTCCACGAGGTGAGATCTTGCATGGTGCACCAGACCTAGGGAGACTGACAGTTGTTTTGTGTTTCTTCCATTTGTGAATGATTGCACCTACTGTTGTCACCTTCTCACCAAGCTGCTTGGCAATAGTTTGGTAGCCCAGTCCAGCCTTGTGTAGGTCTACAATCGTGTCCCTGACATCCTTGGACAGCTCTTTGGTCTTTGCCATGTTGGAGAGTTTGGAATCTGATTGATTGCTCCTGTGGACAGGTGTCTTTTATACAGGTAAAAAAATGAGATTAGCAGCACTCCCTTTAAGAGACTGCTTCTAATCTCAGCTTGTTACCTGTATGAAAACACCTGGTAGCCAGAAATCCTGCTAAATGATAGAGGATCAAATACTTATTTCCCTCATGGACATGCAAATCAGTGCATAATTTGTTAGACATGCATTTCTTTTGAATTTTTTTGTTGCTATTCTGGCTCTCAAGTGTTACAATACACCTACCATCGATTTTTAGATTGATAATTTCTTTGTGAGTGGGCAAACATTCAAAATCAGCAGGGGATCAAATACTTGTTTCCTTCACTGTATATAGGATTCCAATTAACAATTAATACAGTAAGGAAAAACTTGCTCAAGTCAGCATGCACCAGTGACAGTCACAGTTTTTTCAAATGCCTTTCTTTGTGATACCATTCATGGCCTTGTGTACAAGTCATGTGCCTAAAATGGCCACACATTTGCCAGTAGTATTTTACAAATATTTTAGCATATATAAAGCTGATGAAAAAAAAAACAATCAAGACATTCCCTCCATGAATAAATGTTGGTTTTGGAGCAATCGCAACATAGATAGATCTTCGTAATAAGCATTAAATATCCGTATTTTTCCAAATTCATTAAAAAAAAAAAACATCCACTATATAATCCTGTAATCTATTTTTCAATAAATAGTTTGTGTTTTTCTGCCTCTTTTTTTTTTTTCTAGCATCCTCCATGATCTCCCAAACCTCTCCTTTTCTTTTCTCACTTCCATTTGTTTGAAATGAGCAGTTGTGGTCATGTGCAGTGCTCTGCGCACACTACACATTCCATCATCTATAGTCCCTAGTCCATCTCAGGAGGGAGAAAGGATGGCTATGCTCCTACCATGGGACCACAAAGAACGAACATAGCCACTCTCTACCAGGAAGCTGATCAGAGCAGGAAAACAAAAATGGAAATTTGGAAAAGGCCAAGTGCAATACAAGAGACTTTTCTGAGTTAAGAATACATATTTGGATAGTAAATAATTTTGTAGATCAGACTTCAGTGCTACTTTAATAGAGCAGTTGTTGGCTCCAAGTTGTATTCTCCTAAGGGCCATTTCACACCAGAACATGGTGCAGTGTTCCGTGTGCATTTCCTACACTGTATCCAAAACACACTGCAGTTTTGATCTGCAGTGGGTGTCAATATTAGGTTCAAAAGGATCTTCACCCTGTAAACAAAAATTTTAGTCATTCTCCTAGGCGGCTAGAGAGGGGACCTGTCAAAAATAGGCACCTGCTGCCCTCCCAAAAGACACTCCAAATATGGGAGGAGGAGGAGAAGGAAAAGCGGATCTTCCCCTTTTGGGTGAAGTTCCGCTTTTTTCACCCCCCCAAATGCAGGTCGCCAATGCAGTGCATTTGCCCGCACCAGAGCAGGCTGCAGCGAGCTTCAAATAGTACTGCATGCACTACGTTTGGTGTGGTGTGATTTCAGCTCATACAAAATGATTGGGCTTAGATCATACCGCACAGAACTGCATGTGAATTGCACAGGAATGCACAGCGCAACCTTGTGTAATTCCCAGTGTGAACCAGCCCTGAATACGAGGATAACAAATGCAATCGTAAATATGGAGCTGCACAATGATGACTTTTTTTTGCATAACACAAACAGTTCATCATTCCAACTCACCACTTTTGTGCACCAACCACAATTTGGTCCAGCTTGTATACATTCTCCACAAGATTTGGCATTTGCTTTTAAACACTCAGTTCCACCTAAAAAAAAAAATGATTATATTAGTTACCCTGACATTATCAATCCAACCTAAACCAGTCTCATGCCAGTTTAAGACGAGAGCTTTCCAAATTCCATACTTTGTTTAACCAGTTCCTCTCTAGAACAAATTGTTGAAATGTGCATTTTTTACTATAAAAAAAAATGTATTAAATCCCCCAGAGGCCTTGCAGAATTAAAAAAAAAATAGTTGATTTTATTTATGTCGCACAATATTTGTGTAACTGTTTTTTAAATCTACATATGCAGGAAAAATACTATAAAAAAAATTTTATTGTGTACAAATGCAATTTAATCATTTTTTTGTACAAAATAAAAGAGAAGACAGTGTGAGTGAGAGCAATTATTCTGGGGCAATCATTTAGACATTTATAACGAGATAGAGCAATGTGTGGTGCAAATGCTGTTTACATACACGTAGCAATTCTGTACATACATTTGCATCTGCAGGTGTGTGATTGGGTTATTTTTTTTTTTATTAATTTTTTTTAATTATTAATCCTGTAATCTATTTTTCATGAAATAGCTTGCGTTTTTCTGCCTGTTTTTGTAACGTCTTCCATGATAGATATTTTTTTTTTTTACTTTTTTCATTTAGCTTTTTTTGGTTATCACAAGGGGCTAACAAGGAAGGGGGAGGTGGGGAGGGGAGCCACAATGCAATCACTCAAAGTGATTGTAACCCAATTCAGCCCTGCACACTACATACGTTCAGAGAGGCAAAGTGGTTAATGAAAAATTGCAGCATTAACGTTCCTCCCTGAGCTGATAACTGCTTCATCATCTAACTGTGCCTTTTGAAAAAATAATCTAATGCAGTCACAAAAAATAATCTGGATAATAGTTTCTGGAAAGAGAAATGTTTATTTGACATCATAGCATTTAAAATGTTTTTAAAGAAGGATACACAAAAAGTCATACTCACTTTGCTGAGCATTGCTGCATAAAAGTGAACCAAGACACAGTCCTACAAAGATTAGTTTATATGCCATCTGTAAAGAAACAGAATGCTTTCATTAGCTGCCTAAATTGCTGAAAGGTCTAAAACTATCCAGACATTTATTTATTTCAGGTACTTCTATAGCGCTGTCAATTTACGCAGTGCTTTACATATATATATTGTACATTCACATCAGTGCCTAACCCTCAACATCAATCCAAATATCAAATCTGTGGCAAATTGGACTAACAACATATACTAATAACTGTTTAATATGAGGTCCCATCTAAACAATTTATTTCCAGGCCTTCACACATCATAGCTAGTGGTAAATTTTGCCACCACTTGCTTTAATTACTGGCAAGACAGCAAGCGTTTTCGAGACTCCTTATGATCACCTGCTAGATCCTAAACGGTCTACAAACTTGCAACACATATAAAAAAAACATGTTGACGTAGTAGCTTTTCAATACACTGCTAGGAAAGGGAACATTCAGGCTTCTTTAACGTGGGCTATTTTGTAAAAGTGCCTCCATTGTATGCACCTAGAGTTGCATGATATTTCAGCAGGTTTTTTTTTTTTTGTTTGCAAAAATTCTAGTCTAACATAGCATTGTTATTCAAATAGTGCAATAATACATCACAAATTTTACATGTTTGTTGTAGTCACACAATCCTTGATTACCAGTTCCCCATTTTTGGTCATCCTAAAACTCTATGTGTTACAGACCCATGCCAGCCATATAAATAAGCTCTGAAAAATTCAGCGCACACGGAGGAACACTGCCTGGAACACAAGCAATGTATCTCTGAGGAATGGAAGCCGGATTCCTGAACTACGATGTTTCCATATATGGGCTGCCCTTTGCCTCTATACCAGACACTCCTCTGGGCCGATTACACTGACACCACTAGATTGAGTTCTTCCTCTAATGCCACTCTCGGGTCAGAACAACCAGACTTGTGCAGTAACACTACAATTATTGTTCAAAACAAAGAAACAAGCCAGTGAAACACTGACTGGAGTAGCCAAGTAATGAAATAGATTTCATGATTTTTTTTTTTTTAAAGCAAAGCTTACTTATGACAAAACTTACAAACGTCAAAAAGATTTTATAGGTTTAGAAAAAGAACTGAAATGTTGACAGTTTTTATTTTTTTCTGAAAAGTACCAGAGCATCTACAAAACAAATGCATGGTGGGGTTCCCTTTGTTTTTCTTTGAACATCACAGAAAACCAGCATTACAGCACAATTTACTGAATAACAAAGAATAGATTTATAACGTTCTATTAGTGTCTTGCTATCTAACAGCTCTTTGTTGACAGTTTAGCTTCCTAACCCTAGATCTCAGTTAGGGACTATGTTATGCTACCAAATAGACAGGGACAGGACCAGCCAGCAATTTTGCAGCAAGATCTATAGCTGCTAATTTAGGCTCTGTTCTCACTAGTGCGACTGAAAAGGTGCCTGAACTCTAAATTGCACAACTTTGGATTCACACTAGTAAACCACAACTTCTAACAAAAAAAAAACCTGCAAGACATGGTCAGAATGTGCTAGTATACATCGCATACTAGCACATTATGTGAATCTAACCTTAAAAGAAAGCCCTTCAGCCACGCACTGTCAACGCTAACAGGGCTTCTTTCTTCACCCGGTCCTTCTTTGCCCCCTCCATCAGCTTGAATGGCCGAAAAAAGCGATGACTTCGCTACCACGCATGCAACACTCAGCTCTGAAGGAACAGCACAGGCATGGGGGGGATTACCTACTAGGGTTGGTCAACTGCTTGCAGGGCCGAATTCCTAAATGGTTTTTCCTGACCGGTGAGTGGGACACGCTGATCACGTTGAACTGTATAAAAGTTTGATCAAGTGGCAGCCACTAGTTTTCGGTTGATGCTGAAGTCAAAGCCTGAGCCCTGTGAAATGACCCTTAATACCAGTGGGAGGTTCTATTTTTTAAAATGTTTAGTGTGCTCCAAAATGGTGCATCTAATCCACCCACCTATGGTGTCTTTAACAACATAGCAACGTCTCTTGGGTCCTGAGGTTAGTACACATAAGGGTTTTTTTTTTGTTTTTTGTTTTTTTTTTTTTTTATTACATACTTTGGATCTCTATTGTACGGCTCTGCATACATAAGAATTTGGGAGCTGCTTTCTATCATTGGATGGTTTGAAAACAGGGGAGGAATTACTGTTTAAGTCCTAAAAGCCTGGGGTAAGCATTAATTAGCAACCCAGAACTACTTACAAATCTAAGTACTACTGAGTATGGGGAAAACCATGCAGTATGGTTCTGCAACATCTAAAATCTTCATTTCCACTAAAACTCCTCATGTGACCGAAAGCCAGAGTCTTAAAAATAGTGCTTATGCCCGAGCAGTAAAAAAAAAAAAAAAAAAAAGTAACTAGATGAAACTTGGAAGTAAATTTTATTTTGTAACTTGCTGGATTACCATTCAGTGGCTGTGTGGTGCATTGTTACTTGGGGGTGATAGATTAGGCCCTGGTGGAATTGATTGCTGTACCCTACAAGAAGTCTTTCCCAGTATGTCTACCATGACAACACAAAGGACACTTTAGCCATAAAGGGTTATGAGGATTATCCTTGCTTTTTCTGACAGTCTACTGCAGTGCTTCTCAACCTTTTTTTAAATTAAGGCACCCTTTAAAATTATACACAATCTCCAGGCACCCTATTATGAAATGTATAAAATGAAACAAATAGTTTTATATACCGCAGCAACATCCACACAAGAAGGAAACAGATTACTAGAGGCGATTGATTCTTCCAAAGCAAATACACCTTTGCACACTGGTACTGACTATATTCTAATGTTTATCCTCTCGGTTTCTCTCTCCACCCACTCAGCTAATATGACCCCTAGTGACAGGGTGGATAAAAATCAATGATTTTTTTTAAACAAATCAAAAAAAAAAAAATCGGATATTTTTTATTTAAATCAGATTTTTTTTAAATAAAATGCTTTTTGAGGAAAATATATTACCATCCAAAGGTTATTCCATCATGAAATAAAGATTAGTTTTTTAATTATGTAGAATAAGGCTGTATATGTTTAATTTTTTTGGTAAATAAATTCCATGAATCCATTCACAATGTCATGCTCTTCCAGAGGTTTATGTAAGATTATTGGGCAGTTTCTCTGCCTACAAGATATTATCACAGATGCTCGGTTTACTTTTGCAGTTCTCAAAACTGAATTTGACTCAGCGGAGATCACATGCCTCTTCTTCACAGCAAAAATGTTATAACATGAACAGAGTTAAGAAAAAGACCTTAATCCTAACTTCTACAAACCTATGAATACAGAATCAACCCCTTCAGTGCTAAGCTTCAAGTTCAGTGAACAGAATAGAAACAATATTTTTCTGATTGTTTGGAGTGGAATAGATCTGCACAAGAAGAAAGTGAAACTGTGAGGAGGAAGGGGCTGACAGTCTAAGTTTCTTAAAAATATATATATTTTGTTTAGCCAAATTAGTTAACAAACATGGATGTTTAAGCAAATAACATATGCTGGAATGTTATTGTTTCAGTTGAATAAATCTATTTAAATTGTTATTATTAAGGTAATGATTATTTTTCTCCTTCCTAAGTACAACAGAAAAGTTGTCCAAATATGAATGATTAACCTATTAAACTGGGAATAAAAAAACTAATATGAAAAGTTGTTATTCTAAAAATCTTCATCTACTTGCATATTAAAGTTATACCAGCAAGAATTAGTCTATGTAGGTAACCAGGATTTAAATCAAGCCTTACTGACTAGTGATTTAAATCAATCCACCCTGCCCAGTGATGACAGAGAGGGAAAGGGGAGGGGCAAACAAGGATGCTGTGTAAGCACCCCACATCCTTTTTATCACCCGATCACATCACTGGTTCTTTGGAAGACTGTAGTAGTGCACAAGGAAAACCTGTGGTTTTGTGTGACTAAAAGGAAGGCCTAAATCCACCTGCTGGTTTGTATAGAATTTTTGGGGCAAATCGTAGACATTTTAACAAGGCACCCCTGAAGAAACCTGAAGGCACCCTAGTTCAAAAAGGCTGGTCTGCAGGGTCACTACAGGAAAGGGAAAGGCCGGAAAGCCTATACCAGGAAAAATGTCTGTTAAATATGCCAAGGCCCTGACCGCAATTTTTTCCAGTGACCCCGCCCTTTGTTACCTTTAGCGGCAGGGAGAATGACAGCTCCTTCTTGGAGCTTTAGTGAAGGAAATAAAAAAAGCTGGCAGTTGCATTTTAAAAAAACGGCAGTGACATTTAGCGGTAGCTCACTGTATACAGTGCTCCTCTCCTGCCTTTAAGCATCCCCATCCCCCCACATCTGCAAAACATACAGCCTCCTGTATCGGCTAAATTTTTCACTGTTTTCAGCCGGTATGTTTCGGCAGCCGATATGTTGGTGCATCCCTAATATACATATATGCGCCCTTCCTTATTCCATGAATAACAGATTTGTATACCCAAGCACCCCCATACACCTGTAGTGAGAAAGCCCTCAAGAGCAGGGCCCTCCGAAACCATATTGAATTGTGTTCCTTATGGTCTCCATTTATATTGTAAAGCTCTGTACAATCTGTTGGCTCTACATAAATCCAGATAATGTATAATAAATGGGCTATTAGGCAAGAAGTGGGTTGGGTAAATAATGAACATGACAAACTGCCAGGTGCGCTGCCTGATTTTTGAAATCTGACTCTGCTCCAGCACCATGGGGAATACTGTGATACTTTCATAAAACTGTACTAGTAGCAGTAAGAGAAACAAACATTCATATGATATACAATGTCAGTACTACTCTCTGTTATGAGGGATAGTATTGACTTTTAAAATATATTATTGCAACAAGTAAAGTGATATATAAGAGTAATAGTGAGAGCAAACCATGACGCCACATCTACAAGATGCAACACTGCCCCTAACCTCACCCAGTGCAAAAGTATCACAGTTGCAGAATAAGTATCACGCAAGTTACCTAATGATAACAAACTGAAAGGTGGCATATTAGCCTGGAAGCTGTA